AGGTTTACGCAAATGTTATTTATAGCTATAATACCAAAGATATTCGTCCTATGCAAGTGCCCTTGAAGGTGAAAGTAGTGGACGGCACAGTTACCAGCTGCACTTTGGAGCTGCCTTGTTGTGAGTATTCAGTTCAGGGGGTGACCTTTAGTTCCACTTTCAAGCTTTTCCCTTTGGGCTGCTATGATATTGTCCTTGGGATGGATTGGTTGGAGTCCAGACGCATTATGACAGTCAATTGGTCTGCGAAGAAAATGTCATTCCAACACAATGGGCAGACGATTCACCTGTCAGGGCGATCTCAGCAGCCAGCAACCTGCAGTGGGATCTCCATGACTCAGCTCAATCTTTTGCAGTCACGCATGGACATTGCTCACGTCCTTCTGCTGGCACCCAGTAAACCAGATGTGAACCAAGCTCCGATTCCAGCAGTTATTGAGGAGCTGCTCAAGGATTTTCCTGAATTGTTCGAGGAACCCAGTGGACTGCCACCACATCGGGAATTTGACCACATTATTAAGCTCGTTCCTGGAGCACAACCAGTCAACAGACGCCCATACCGGTACAGTCCAGCATAGAAGGATGAAATTGAGCGTCAGGTGATGGAGATGCTTCCCCAAGGTATCATACAGCTCAGCCGCAGTCCTTTCTCGTCCCCGGTGCTTCTGGTTCAGAAAAAGGATGGGGAGTGGCGATTCTGCATCGACTACCGCTTCCTCAATGCGATTACTGTCAAAAATCGATACCCAATTCCAGTCATTGACGAGCTCCTGGATGAATTGCATGGCGCCACCGTATTCACTAGTCTGGATCTGTGTTCCGGATATCATCAAATCCGGATGCGACCAGGGGATGAAGCTAAAACGGCATTTCAGACCCATCATGGACACTTCAAGTTCAAAGTTATGCCACAAGGTGTCATCGGCGGGCCATTCACATTCCAGTCTGCTATGCATGTGGTTCTCGCGCCATTCCTGCGCAAGGGGGTCCTGGTGTATATCGATGACATCCTTGTCTTCAGTGCCACTTTGAAGGAGCACGTGTTACTATTGCGAGCAGTGTTTCAACGGCTGGAGCAATACTCTCTCAAGGTCAAGCTAAAGAAGTGTGCCTTTGCGCAGCCACAACTTCGATACTTAGGCCATGTCATCAGTGCGGAAGGGGTGCACCCCGATCCATGCAACATCGAGAAGGTGCAAAACTGGTCTTCACCATCATCTGTGAAAGAGCTCATGTGCTGGCTGAAGAAAGGTGCAACACCGATCCACGCTACTGAAGAAAGGTGTTCCTTTTGTGTGGACGGCAGATCATGAGCAAGCATTCGGGGTCCTCAAGACGGCGCTGACCACAGCCCCTGTGCTGGCTTTGCCCAACTTTGCCAAGCCGTTTGTGGTGGAGACGGATGCTTCAGACATTGGAATTGGCGCAGTTTTGATGTAGCAACAACATCCAGTGGCTTTCCTCAGCCAAGCCTTGGGTCCACGACATCGGGCATTATCCACGTATGAGAAAGAATGCCTTGCTATTCTGATGGCGGTGGACAGATGGAGGTCGTACCTTCTATTATCAGAGTTCACTATTCGCACAAATCATCGGAGTCTCGCTTGCTTGGACGAACAAAAGCTCACTACCCCGTGGCGGCACAAAGCTCTGACCAAGCTGCTTGGATTGCAATACAAGATTGAGTATCGGCAGGGGGCTAACAATTTGGTAGTGGACGCTCTTTCGCGAAAACCAATAGCTCACGCGGTGGTAGCCGCAATCTCGGTATGTGTGCCGACATGGCTTGAGGACGTCAAACAGGGCTACAAGAAGGATCCTGATTGCTGTCGCATGCTTGCCTCACATGCCCGAGGAGCTCAATTAGCAGGGCCTTTTTCTGTCACTAATGGAATGATCCGTTACAAAGGGCGAGTGTGGCTGGGCAATGATGTGGATAGCCAACAGAAAGTGTTGCAAGAATTGCATGCTAGAGCGATAGGAGGACATTCTGGAGTGCAAGCAACATACAACCGAGTGATCAAGCTCTTTGCCTGGCCCAAACTCAAGCACACCGTCAAGGCGTTCATCGCTCGTTGCTCCGTCTGCAAGCAAGCAAAGCCCGAGCATGTCCGGTATTCGGGACTACTTCAGCCTCTCCCCGTTCCCGAACAATCTTGGGAGATGGTGACACTGGACTTTGTCGAGGGACTGCCCACATCAATGGGATACAACTCTGTTCTGGTCGTTGTTGACAAACTGACTCGGTATGCGCATTTTATCCCACTTTGGCATCCGTTCACAGCTCTCCAGGTAGCCAAGTCGTACATGAACAATGTGTTCAAACTACATGGACCCCCAGACAAGATGGTATCCGACCGCGATCGGGTTTTTACCAGCAAGGTATGGCAGGAGCTATGCAAGTTAACTCATACCACTCTAAACATATCTTCGCCGTGCCACCCACAGACTGATGGTACCATGGAGCGTGTGAATCAGTGTATGGAGCTATATCTGCGCTGTTTCATCCACAACTGTCCGAACAAGTGGGTCGAGTGGCTAGCTTTGGCAGCATTCTGGTACAACACATCATATCATTCGACGCTGAAAACATCTCCATTCAAAGTTCTGTACGGTCACAAACCGCGCTTCTTTGGCATCACCAACATTGCTGATGACACGGTGAGAGATCCGGCTGCCTAGACCCGTGATAGAGCAGCAGTGATGGGCCTTCTCAAGCAGCATCTTCATCGGGCGAATCAAGTTATGAAGAGCAAAGCTGATATGCACCGCTCAGATCATGTGTTCTCAGCTGGCGACTGGGTCTATCTGAAGCTGCAACCCTACGCCCAGTCCTCCGTGGCGGCTTGTGCTAACCATAAATTGGCTTTTAGGTATTTTGGCCCCTTTCAGGTTCTTGCTCGCGTAGGGGAGGTGGCGTACCGGATTGCCTTACCTGACCACGCCAAGATCCACCCGGTCATCCATGTTTCGCAACTTTGAGCTGGGCTGCCTCTGTCCACGACAACACTTCCTGAGCTACCTGTACTGGACCAAGACCTTCTTCCACTTCAAGTTCCTGAAGCCATCCTGAAGCGGCGATCGGTGGCTCGAGGGACACGCATGGTCGATAAGTGTTCGTCAAATGGTCGGGCTTTCCAGAGTCACTCGCCTCCTGGGAAGACGAAATCCCTCTCCAGTTAAGATTTCCAAGAGCATTGGCTTGGGGTCAAGCCACATCTCAAGGAGGGGGAATGTCACGGGAACACCACGTCGCCCGGCCCAGCAGAGCTGGCCCAAGCGAGGGGGGCAGCCCAACCTTCGAGTCCAAGGAGAGGACTGGGTCCAGTGAGTGTGTATTTAGGGCTGCCTGTGTGGAGTTGACAGGCATCGTTGGATCACTACTCTGTATCGGCGCCGTTGGCCAAGACCTCCTCCTCCCACCTCCTGGCTCTTTTTCCCACCGATCCCCTTCCTTGCTTGGAACCCTAGATCGAATTTGTATCCTGATCCAGAGATTGTAAGAGCAACCCAGGGCTACTTAGTGAGGATTGTTACATCCCGGCGCATCCACTCCCACGTCGGAGCAAAGGTGGCCAGATGAGGACAGGGAGTGGATGAGACCGGCCCCGTCGCACGCATCAGTTAAAAAGGACGGGCACACGGCTCTTCCACACACTACCAGGCGGGCCCTCGGTAGGTGGCCGTGTTAATTATGACTGCTTAGGATTGTTGGCCGGCCGACATGTGGGACCGCGACAGACACCAAGAGGACGAGCGGCGCGAAGTGGACGGGTTTTGGGAATGGGTCAACGCGTTGGGTCAGCGTTTTTGTGTACGGCGATCCAAACAGAAGTGGGGGCCGAAATGGGTTGCCCGGTTGGAGCTGCTCTTGGATCGCCGTAGAGCAGAGACACAAATTCAGATAAAAGGGAAACAGAGTTGCATTGCATTGCTTCATGGTTCAACACGACGAAGACGACGAAGAAGAGGAAAAGTAAGCAAGCAGATCGAGTGAGCACTGAGCATGGAGACACGCTCGCCGGACACCCACCGGGTGGTCGGACGCGGTGGAAAGCCTGTGCAGAAGAAAGACGGACAGAAAGTCCACACCCCAACAGCGAGCTCATCTCGTGTTTCCCCATGTGAAACGCGCCGGCTGACCGCGACCCTGCGTCTCTTCTTCTGCGTTACCACGCCTGCCTAGAGAAGTATCCGATCGGATCGGCCATAGGCCATGTCACTGGCCGATGCCCGGTTGGCCACCCGGCCGCCGGCGATCCACTTTCCGGGTACCAAAACAAGGACGCTGGAGCCGAGTCTGTCCTGTCCAAGCCAGTGGGCAGGAGGACATACGCATGTGAACAAACATGCGCAGCTCCCGCCTCCGTCCGATCCGATCCGGCCCGACCACATGGACATGGCTGCTGCTCGAGAGTCGAGACAAGGCCTGGGGCACTCTTGCTGACTCGTACACCCCCACACCCCGTACGCACGTACGTTGCCATGTCACCGTAGTACCTTTTCCTTTATATCTACTGTATACACCAATAATACACACACCCAGTGGCCCCTAAATACCAACGGAATGGACCAATAATAGCACCAGTACGTAGTACCACCACTTGGACACTCACAAGTCAGTAGCTCATGGCCACATTCCCATGCACCCATCCAACTCATCTCACCAACCGCCAGAACTCATCACGCAAATACTACTATATGGCATGCATCTACATCCCACTGTCCATTGAGAAGCTGTTTCGGAGAGAAATAAAAGCTTGGCCAGACCAAGACCATCTGACCCGTAACCACTTCCCATATGGAGGAGCACCCATCGCTCACTCGCCATGTGCCGATCAACGCGCGTCTACTCCTCCCTCAGTCCACGCCGTCTATATAAGCCCGCACTATTCCATCCACCTACCTAGCCCGCAGCCAGCCAGCTAGTCGTGTCAGCATCCGCGCCAAGTCCTACCTAGCCGCTAGATCCAGCCACCCGGCCGTCCGTCCGTCGGGGGATGGCCGGCGCCGGCGAGGAGTTCATGGCGTCGGCGGCGGGGGTGTGGGCGGAGCTGCCGGTGCGGGTGGACTGGGCGGCCGTGGCGGCGCAATGCGCGTGGGCTGGCGCGCAGGCGCGTGCGTTCCTGGTGGTGCCGGCCATCCGGCTGCTGCTGGTCCTGTCGCTGACCATGACGGTGATGATCCTGCTCGAGAAGATCTTCGTCGCCGCCGTCTGCTTCGCGGCCAAGGCCTTCGGGCACAAGCCGGAGCGCCGGTACCAGTGGCGGCCGATCGCCGCGTCGGCCTGCAAAACGGGCGGCGTCGACGAGGAGGCCAGCGTCGGCGGCGGAAGCTCGGCGTTCCCCGTGGTGCTGGTGCAGATCCCCATGTACAACGAGCGCGAGGTGAGCTCCTCCTCCCATCATCCTAGTGCTTGCTCGCTAGAAAAATGTTGACCGGCGGCAAGCCGGCGGTGGTGTGGTGTGGTGGGATTTGTTTACTGATTTGTTTGGATCGGTGTTGTTGGATCGGATGGATGGGAATGAATGGGAATGAAGGTGTACAAGCTGTCGATCGGGGCGGCATGTGCGCTGGAGTGGCCGTCGGACCGCGTGGTGATCCAGGTGCTGGACGACTCCACGGACCCCGCTGTAAAGGTACGTACGCAATCAATCCATCCATCCGCCGCTCATCTAGCTCTGCTCGCCGCTGCAAAGGCCGTGATAATTCACATTATTCCCGTACGTACGTGCGTGCGTGCGTGCGTGCGTGCATGTTCGCTCCTTGGTTTTCTCCGTCCCACTACTGTACGTACTAGTACATGCATAATTTCCCTCCCCCTGTGTGGCCGGCCGGCCGGCGGCGTCGTTTCGTGGCTGGCACGGGCACCGCCGCGCTGGCAGCGTGGCAGGCACCACGTACACACATACACACACAGACGGGTGACATGGCCGCCCGGCCTGTCGTTTCGGTCCTAGTCCTACCATGGGCTGGTTTTGTTCGCAACTTGGGGACTACCAGTTGCCACATGACATGCCGGCCGTGATAAGTGCGGATGAAGAAGTGGTTGGCCGATCGGCTTGTTTGCTAGCTAGTGAGAGCCAGCCAGTGAGCAGAGCCCGTGACTGACAAGCGTGTTTGTTGACCTGCATAAAGCTAGGTGAAAACTATTCCTGCGATTTCTTTTTGGCAAAAAACACATGTTCTTTTTTGACAGAAAAAAAAAACACTGTCGCTCTACTAGCTCCTTTATTTCTGTGGATCGATCGCCCCATACCGAGTCCTGCACACGGACACCGCTCTCAGGCAAGCAGAAGCAGTGGGCAACAACAACATGCATGTGCACACAATCAATTGCCCGGCGGCAGCCGGAGCATCCCGTTGCCATGCGAGAAGAGGATCCCGGCCTTGTCTAAAGCCGAAACCGGCGCGGCCGTCCGGCATGGAGCAACGGCAGCGTCTTCCTGGCTCCGGCGGACGCGCCAAACTACCCACTTGGCTACTCGGTCGCCGCCGGCCGATGGTTTGTACGTACCCACTAGTCACTACTCTGCCGGCGCCGCTCCGGCTGATCTTGCCATTTATTTCGCTATACAGTAGTAAATTTTTTGTTTGCGACCGAATTAGCAAGTTTTATTCCTCATGTATATACGTATATAGTAGAGTACCAGGGTTAATGGCCTCACGTACAGGTCATCATGGCCTATGACACACGTATTATACTCTCTTTTGGCATGATACTACCCTGCATCGACAGAACATGACACACATGTTCCCAATCATGCCATCGGAAATGCTATGCCCCGACGGCCCGACCTATAACTAACTTAGAATATATACCTGGTGCTGGTGGCCATGTGAGCGATCGAGCAACGTGAGGAGGAGGCGTGACACTGGGTTAGGTTACGTGGCTCACTGGATCCAAATTTGATCGATCGAGGAAACACTGATAATGACACCATCTCCGTAGCATCTCTGCTGCCACTGCAAGGCCCCGAAGCACGTGGGAGCACCTTGATTCGTTGGCAAGTGGTAGGGTCAGACACCATGAGTGAGTATAAGACTAGCCACAGTGAAGAGTAACATATACTAGTAATATACACGTATCTCTAGACTATGTTACTACATTTACAGTGGGTAGTAATTTAAGTGTGATAACATGCAAAGATTCATTTATTAGGTTATAGACTCATATTGCATTGAGACATGTAATGTTACAGTAACTAGCTAAGTTACTACAACTGTCTTTCTCCTCATTAATTCATTGTCACATAAGCAAATTTGCTGAGTTGGACTCAATGTTACTGCTGAAGTTACTCCCACTGTGACTAGTCTAAAGCAAGCATGCAGTAGCATGTTCTTATCTCTTGCTCCATGCACCCCCGTCCCCGATTCTCCCGGCCGGCAACTCACCTCTCTGGTCAGGTCAACGCCTCGCTTCAGTTTTATTTTCACACCCTCCAGAAAAAGTAGAAAAGGTGAAAGACTTTACACGCTACAGTAGTACAGTACTACTCATCGTTTGACGGCGTTGCCTCGTGCGTGTAGCACGTGGGCTTGGTAGTGCGCCGCGTAGCTGGCTCAACGCTTTTGCTTGTCGCGTTCGTTCGGCGCACCGGATTCCAGGCATGGACGCATGGTGACTCCAAAGTCCAAACATGTGGTGATAATGTGTGCGGCGTAGCTAGGCTAGGCTAGGCTAGCTAGCGCGCTTGCGTTCGATCGCGGCGCCGGATTCCAACATTATATTGGCGACCATGTTCGTGGATTCGTTCGGTCGTTCCCGGATATATCCATCCCGTGCCCTTTGGTGCCATCGCCTAGCTGATCGTTGAAGGGGTTTAGGGTGTGTTTGCTAGTGCATGAGCTCGAAAGTTTCGTACTCAATCCACTTTTGGAAATACTCTCGTAGTATGCACGAAGAGAGAACACCACAACATCGTTCGATTGTTACCATGCGCGAGCAAAGTAAGCGGCGACATGTTTCAAAAAATCTTCAGAATTTTCCAAATTTGTTTAATTTTTTGAAAAATATTGAGATTTTCAGACTTCTTTTTCATAATTTCAAATTTTATTTATGTTTTAAAAAATGTTCAAAATTCCAAAAACAAAATCCATTTTTTATATTTTGAAAAATCAAACTCAAAAAAAATATTTTCCAAAAAATAAATTCCAATTTTTTAATATTTTTTTAAAAAATGAAATTCCAAAAATAATTTTCCCAAAATTTGTTTACTTTCAAAATTTTTCTAGAAATTCATCTACAAGACTAATCCGGTTTACGAGGCAAAAACAATACTACTAAGGACTGCAATACTCAACAACCGTTCGCTGGCCAGGATGGCATCTGTGAACGCCACGGCTGGCAGTTTAGTGTTTGGAGATGGCATTTTTGACAAGAAAACATGGCATTTTTTTATTTTAGTGCATTTTTCATCTGAAAATTACCACTGTCAGATCTTGATCATATGGCTATGAGGGGGTTCTCTGGGGTTTTCCTCTTGGGAAATGGTCGCCAGATAATATTAGGGTACTACTAAACAACATGGTTTATTTTAGGGCAACTGTGCATAACAGGCTCCAACCCTCAAGGAGAAACAGTGATATCCTTTTGAGGAGAAAAAAAAAAGGAGAAACGGTGATATGGCCGTGTGCATCCCCCGATGCAGAGACCGGGGGTCTACCCTATTTTTTGAAAATAATAATGTGTGAAAATGAAATTAGTTTTCCTTTTTTACAGAGAAAATGCGATTAATTGAGGCGAATTGTTGCTTTTACTTGTGGCAAACTATTATCTTGAATACCCATCTTTTAATTCCCCCCGGTACTAAAATTTGGGTGCAGAGTTTTGGACAGCAGATTAGATCACCCAACTGCACAGTATCAAATGAAACTGACCGTATTTTCTATTCCATTTTTATCAGGACCTAGTGGAGATCGAGTGCCAGAGGTGGAAAGGCAAGGGGGTGAACATCAAGTACGAGGTGAGAGGGAACCGGAAGGGGTACAAGGCCGGCGCGCTCAAGGAGGGGCTGAAGCACGACTACGTGCAGGAGTGCGAGTTCATCGCCATGTTCGACGCCGATTTCCAGCCCGAGTCCGACTTCCTCCTGCGCACCGTCCCCTTCCTCGTGCACAACCCTGACATCGCCCTCGTCCAGACCCGCTGGAAGTTCGGTCAGTCCTCATGTACTCTGTTTTGTGTTCTTTGTGAAAGACTTAGTTGGTTCCTGGTCTAATAATTTGTTATGTTTGTTATGCAGTTAATTCGGATGAGTGTTTGCTGACAAGATTCCAGGAAATGTCACTAGACTACCATTTCAAGTTTGAGCAGGAGGCCGGGTCCATAGTCTACTCGTTTTTCGGCTTCAACGGTACCTAAACTTGGCTTCATCATATCATATATGTATAGCTCAAGCATCCAAATGAGCACGCTGAGTGAATGATCTCTTGGGGATTTTTACATCTTCCAGGGACGGCCGGTGTCTGGAGGATATCGGCGATCGACGATGCCGGTGGGTGGAAGGACAGGACGACGGTGGAGGACATGGACCTGGCTGTTCGCACGGCGCTGAAGGGCTGGAAGTTCGTGTATGTTGGCGCCGTAAAAGTAAGCCAAAGACTAATGCACTTTTTTTAACTTTCTTCTCTACCAGAAATAACCAAACCCATCAAGAAAAAAAAAATATAACGATGCTCGGATCTGTGCATGGTTAGGTCAGGAGTGAGCTGCCAAGCACATTCAAGGCGTACCGATTCCAGCAGCACAGGTGGTCGTGTGGACCTGCAAACCTGTTCAAGAAAATGTTGGTAGAGATTCTAGAGAACAAGGTCTGCATTTCTGCACTTAATAAGGGAGGACTCATCACCACCCACTGATACACACCATCTTATTGACTGACATTTAATTTTCTCTATGCAGAAAGTGTCATTTTGGAGCAAGCTCCACCTCTTGTACGATTTCTTCTTCGTTGGGAAGATTGCTGCCCATACGGTGACGTTCATCTACTACTGCTTCGCGATCCCGTTGTCCGTTTTCTTCCCTGAGATTCAGATTCCTCTCTGGGGCGTGGTCTACGTTCCAACTGTTATCACCCTCTGCAAGGCTCTTGGATCACCAAGGTAACAACCACACATTTCAAGACTGAACTTTCAGAATGACATGTACTGTTTGTTACTTCAGTTAATTAACACAAGAAAGTCACACTTTCAGTTCATTTCATCTGGTGATCCTCTGGGTCCTCTTTGAGAATGTGATGTCGTTGCACCGGATAAAAGCGGCGGTAACCGGTCTTCTAGATGCCGGACGAGTCAATGAGTGGGTTGTCACTGAGAAATTGGGAGATGCCAACAAGACCAAGCCAGCCATGGAAGCATTAGATGCTGTGAAAGTGATAGATGTTGAGCTAGCGACGCCCCTAGTGCCAAAGCTCAAGAAGAGGAGAATAAAATTATGGGACAAGTAAGCAAAATCTATTGTCTCAAAGCTAGTACATTACGATATATGCTAATTGAAATTACTGCGTACAAACTACGGGTTTTTCGCGTTTTCTAGTTTTGTCAAATAATGCCTGATGTGTGTGTTCTTTTTATCAGGTACAACTGCTCAGAGATTTTTGTTGGAACCTCCATAATTATATGTGGTTTCTACGATTTGTTTTATGCAAACAAAGGGTACTACATCTACCTCTTCATTCAAGGCCTAGCATTCCTCGTTGTCGGTTTTGAGTATATCGGCACACGCCCTCCCACTCCCAGCGCCGAATAAGCTGCCATGCCATTCATGGCGCTCATCTGAATGGTTACCAGTGACAAATGGCGTGCAAGTGAAGGCCCTCTCCAGCTCTGCTGCACATATCGATATCAGAACATAGCGTATACAGAGAATTTTCCCTCCACCCCGGTCAGATTTGATCCAACCATTAATTCTTTACTGCCAAGAAGGCGGTCGAAATAGCATGGTAGTTCATCAGTTAATAACATGCAGTATTTACTGAAGCATCATGACAGAAAGATGCATTCAACACCTGGAAGAATAACACAAGTTGTAAATTAAATAACATGCTCTGCCAATCAATTACTTACTGTAGATTCTCCAAATTTATATGTCAATGTACTTACTGATGTAGCTTATTCCGAATAGAGGATGTTCAGCAGCAGCTTGTGCAGTTGTGTTGTGTAGTATGACAAAACATGTAAATGTACATTACATTGTTGCTCAACGCCATTTATAACTCTGTCAAATTCAGACAGGCCTTAGAATGCAGTAACAAAAATTTGGACTGATGTTGGAATACAGTCAAAATTCAGACATGTAGCCTTGCAAGCAAAAGTATATTTCTGGTATAACCTTTTACTTAACGTGGGTGGATGGATCTACAGCAGCCATTTCTACTGCTACTTTTGAGGAGAAGTAGTGATGCCGATTGACGCAACATGTATGTCAGTTGAGACAATCAGTCGGAAAATAGAAAATGGAATTGATTAAATGCTTGATTATTTTTTAAAAGCTATTGGATTTGAAAAATATCCGGGAATTAACATATTGCATGAATGCGAAAGAAGTTCATAATTTTTTTGGGGAAAATTTGAAAAATGTGCGCATATTCAAAACCATCATGAATTCGAATTTTTTTTTGTGAGATTTAAAAATAAAATAGAAGAAACCAAAAATGGAAACGAAAAAATCCAAACAAATCCCTTGATGGGAAAACAGAGAAATGTAAACAATTAGATGAAACCCCGCAAAACAAATTTAGATGGAAACATGGAAAGCAAAAAAACCGAATGGAGGAACATTCTAGAATGTCCCCAAACCAGGAAAGACGGGACTGGTTCCAGTTACATGGCTGACCCACTAAAAGAAGACTAGTTAGCTCTACTCGAACGCCAGGACTATATCTCGCTTGTACTCCCTCCGTTCCCAAATATTTGTCTTTCTAGACATTTCAAATGGTTATAACATACGGACGTATGTAGACTTATTTTAGAGTGTAGATTCACTCATTTTGCTTCGTATGTAGTCATTTATTGAAATCTCTAGAAAGACAAATATTTAGGAAAGGAGGGAGTAGGAGATAGATCCTTCCGTCTCACCTCAAACTTTCTTCTTCCCCTGTTGTAGTTGGGCCTTTTTTTTGTTCATTTTGTATAGATCGCTCTATATTTGAGACCGCTGGTCGTTGTTTTGCGCGGTGCACGTACAGGTTTAGTCTGTTTTTTTTCTTTGTCATTTTCTTTATGTTTTCTTTCGGTTTTATCTGTTACTTCATCGTTTTTTTATTTCCTGTTTTCTTATATTTCACAGGTTTTCTTTCCGGTTTTCACTTGTTTTTATTTCATTTTTTCTTTCTTTCTTGGGTATCACTAGTTTTATACTTTTTTTTAGTTTTTTCTTTTGTTTCTTTCACGGTTTTTATCGGTTTTCTTCATTTTATTTGTTTCTTTTTCGGCTTTGTCTGTTCCCATTCTTTTGCATTGCTTTCTTTGGTTTTCATTTCCTTTCTTCTGTTTTATTTTTAAAACTTTTGGCGTTTTCTGGGTTTCTCGATTTTCTTAATTTATTTTTCGATTTTCCTCTTTTTTGGTTTAACACATGTCACCTTTTTCAGTACACATTCGACATTTTTTGCATACATTGGAATTTTTTTATATACATGTTTCACATTTTTCAAAATATATATTTTTATGTATACTTTTCTCCATACACACTATAATTTTTTGGTATATATATATATAATACAGTTTTTAATAGAAGTTTAACATTTTTATACACAAGGTTAAAACATTTTGAATACATGATTACATTTTTCCAATACAACAATTTGACATTAAATGCTTGATAGCATTTTTCAAGTACAAGATTAACGTTTTCCGAAAAAATAGTTAATATTGTTTTTATATACATTTAAGATTTTGAAATGCTTTATTAACTTTTTTCCAAAAAGATATTTTTATTGCATGGTTAACTTTTTTATGCATATATAATATTTTTAAATGCTTGATTAACATTTTTAAAATAATTGTTTAACTTTTTTTCAAACCGTGATCAACATTTTTTATACAGATTTAAAAAAATTAAAGGCCTGATTAATATTTTTTTATTTTTTAGATGCTTGATTAATATTTTCTAAAATACATGATAAGCTTTTTTCATACACATTATATTTTTTTGTATACATGAGAAACATTTTCTCAATACACATTTAACATTTAAAGAAGGCTTGGTTTATATTTTTTATCATATATTTTATGTAAAGCGTTTTTTGTAACATAATTATTCAGAATATTTGAAAGTATAAACAAAAGTAAAAAATAGAAGCAAAAAACTAAAACAAAAAAGTGATAGAAAAATGAGTCTGTGTTCTCCCATGCGCCTTGGCCGGTCCATCTCATGCCACCTTCAGGCGAGGCTTCCCATTGTCCCATGTGAAGCGAGACATAGAGGCAGCCGTGCCCAAAGCGCTTAATAGCATTTGCGACATCTCATTCATCTAGGCTTGCTAGCAATACTAGCTAAATACACGTGCGTTGCTACGGGATGGAACAATATTTGAAAAATAATAAAAAACAAATATGTAAGGTTCCATCTCCCCTCGTCCAACCTTCCGCTTTACGTGATCCTTCCTCCCCAACCTGACTTGTTTCCCATCACCTTTTTTTTTCTTGCCTTATATGGTTTATTAGACTATCAAATAAGTGCTGATACAATTTGCAATTACTCCCTCTATTTCTTTGTCAACATCATCTTTAACCCAGGTGACCAAAAAAAGTCTTACTTTGCCCAAAGATAAGAAGCAGCTAGAAAGGATGTTGAGAGAGCATTTGGAGGTTTGCAGACACATTTTGCAGTTGTTCGTGGACCTCCTAAGCAATGGGATCCGGAGACCTTGTGAAAGGTAATGACCTGTTTTGTGATCATGTACAACATGACCATGGAGGACGAGGGTGAGGATGCTGCCGCAACTCTTGAATTTGAGAACATGGGTGATCATATCGAACTTCCCGACCAAAATCCGACCACATTTGAAGAATTTGTTCAAATGCATCAACAAATTTAGTATCGAGCAACTCACGAGCAACTGAAAGAAGATCTGATTTGAACCTTTTAAAGTTAGAACTACCACTGCATTTGAACATTTAAACTAATTTAGACTATATATGCAGCTATTTGTACGTGCAGACTTAAAGATTTCTTTGAGATCGGATATATGCAAGTAACGTCGGATGACTGGCTCCCGCATCCGTGTCCGTAAATATAGATGCATGAAGTATTTACGTGTCAGCGTTGGAGATAGCCTAGGCTCATACAACCAATAACCACAACGTACACAGGCCACCAGGAAACTAACGCAAACAATCGCGCTGGACAAAGAAACACCACCGAGCCTACGCAGTTTGCATGAATTTTACAGCAATTAATGTGTGGTTGAGAACTTAGATGTGACATAGTCAATTCTCATTTATTCTCATCTAAAATGACAATTAACAAATCCGTTTCAGTGAATGCTTTAAATCACAGCACACATCAGGAATCCCAGAGAATTGAATTCAGAAAAAAAATCCCGTCAATATGAATGCGTTGATCACAATCTCCTACACATACTGATGAAGCCCAACGCCGTCGACAGATCCCCCCGCAAACCAAACGCTAGCACCAAGCACGTACTAGGCGCAGCCATGATCCCGCCCGCAATGGCGCTCCGGCAGCTCATCGCGTGCATGTTCCTCCTCCTGGCCGCCGTCGCCGTCGCTGCCGGCTCAAGCCCACTGCAGCCTCAGGACCTTGTGGGCCGCGTCCACACGAGCTGCGCCAACACGCTGGATGTGGTGCCGTGGGATTGCGTGGACCAGTTCATCCATGCCATCCTCAGCGGCCGCACCGCGGAGACAATCCCCGTCACCTACGAATGCTGCGCCAAGCTCGCCTGCGTTCGCGAGGGGTCGTGCATAGACCTGCTCCGCCGCGTCTGCTTGCCCCCTCACAGGGGCTACTGCCAGTAGACCGCCGTCGAACCTGTATATCGCCACTCGGCAGGCACCACGACCAGGAACAAGATCGGTGCATGTACTCATGCATGGCCGGCCATCTTTTACTTGTGCACGCGGTCACTGAAAAATGAATAAAATTGCTCCTTTTCTGTAAGAAGAATCTATCTGTCTATATACTGCATACATATTTGTGAACTTTTGGTCGTGGACTCAGGGACGATGTACGGTGGACTGTGATAATCGATCTGTACCGGCGCGCTTGTGTGGTGTTGTTCTTTGTTTTTTTATGTGTAACCCATTTGTTTTACATCTTTTCTTTGAAACTCATTTGCTTTACATTTAACCTCCTCAAAATCTCCCCTCGGCTTTGCTGATCCTGATGGCAGTGGTTGGTGGCGCGGTGTTTCCCCCCTGTCCCGTTATTTTCTAACACCGTACCGACGCAAATGCTCGTACATACGCACATACACTCATTTCTATGAGCATACACACACCTAGAGACACATATACTGAGCTGACACATCAACTCAAGATTGACAAAGACGCCATACCATCTTTGTAGTCGACAGGAACGTCTCCTCCCACTGAACGCACATAGTCGAAAGGCCTGAAATAAATTATGGAAAACATCAATAAACTAACTAAAACCCAACCATGGGACGTACTAAAAGTACAAAGATACATATTCTGGCTTGGTTGCGATTTGTGTAGCAAGGAGTAACAGTTAGAAGTAGACCCGATAAGAGAGCAGCATCATGCATCTCTTTCTGAAATAAA